GGGCATGTGGCTGGGGGGGGCCGCCCCCGGGCGGGCAAGTGTCCCCGCCCCCTGGCGCCCAGCGGGCGAACGGCCACGCCCCCTGGCGCCCGCCAACCTGAAAAGGTTGGGGACCACTGTTCTATGAGATCTGCTCTAGCTCAAAAACAAGTTTTTGGAATTATTGGGCTTGATGTAGGAATCACTGGCTGAAATATTATGGAGGTTGGAATAGCTCATCTCATGATCCCTTTTGGCCATAAAGATCTGTTAAAGTTTTTTATTTTATTTTAAAACTGATGTTTTCTGTCTGAGCTGGAGGATTATATGATGATTAGAAAACTAGTGAAATGGTGGCTGCATTTATGTATTAATAGTGAAAGGAACATTACTAGACAGGTTGTCTAAAACTTTTTGGTTTTTGCTTCTTCTTGGTAAACATATTTGGAGTTGGCGACTATCATTTCACACAGAGAAGCCTTTGTTAAAGACTCAGCAATTTCAAATAGATTCCTTAATACCTCTGGCTGGGCTTTCAGCGAAATCAGGGAAGACAAGATTTTACATTTCTGACATTTCTAAAGGTTAAAAATAAAGAAAGCAGAAAACAAGTAAACATCCTTAAACACTCTGCTGCTCCCCCCCCCCCTCCAAGCCTTTGACTTTATCCATCATTGAGAACCAAAAAGAGGGACAAACAATTTTAAAAAAAATCCTTTGCAGATCACTTTTAAGAGCTTCCTACTAGGAGACAGTCACTTTAGAGCTTACTTATGATTTATCCCTAAGCAGCTGTGCAGGGGAGTAACTATAAGACTGTGTATCTTGTGTGGCTGGGCAGGGCTCGTGAGTCTGTGTTTGATGTAGACTGCGCTCTATATCTGATGCTCATTTCTCTGAGCAAGTGGGCTGGAAGAGGGGACAGAGAGTAGACAGAGCAATAGTAAATCTCTCTTATGTGTTCCTTGCTGGATGTGAAGGGGGAATATACTAAAGGTTGAAGTGGTCTGTTATAGCACATTCCTTTCGCCAACCTAAAAATCTGAGCTCAAGGGAAATTGTGACACAGAGGGTCATCTCAGACTGTGTCTATACTGCAGGTACTGCAGTGGCACAGCTCCGGTGCTGTGGCCGCCCTGTGGCATAGACATTTGTTACAGTAGCAAAAGGGTTTTTCCCTTGAGAGGCGGTAGCTAGATTGACAGAAGAATTCTTCCATCAATCTAGCAATGGCTGTGCCTGCACCTTGGTTGGCTTAGCTACGTCTCTGAGAACATGTCTACATTAGGAGATTATTTCGAATTTACTAAATTTGACTTCTGTGCATCCGATTTTACAATTCAAACGTCCATGTCCTTACTACGGGGGAGAATCGAATGTAATCTTAGGCAGGCTCCATTGATGTGGACACACTACCTCGGACTCAGCGCCCCAGGAAGCACTCTGGGCAGCTGCAAGAGGTTCAAATTAGTGGCACCGGAGTGTCCACACTGTTATTTCGGACTTACAAGTTCAGTAACAGTGTTATTCCTCATGAAAAGCAGAAGTATTGAGTTTAAATTCCATGGTCCCTTATTCCAGAATAATGGGCTTGGTAGTGTGGACGCATTGCTTACAAATTTGATCTTGGGGTTATTTCGGACTAAGGTCCTAATGTAGACCAGACCTCAGGGATGTGTATCTTTATATCACTCAGTGATGCAGATAAGTAGGGATGAGGCCTCAGAATCACCATTCCTTTCTGGAGCTTCTCCTGGGATGGGATAATTAAACACCTCCTTACATGGGGCTGAAAGCAAACTCTCAACCTCGTCTTTAATTATAGGCAATGGAATAACACAGCTGTGAAAGCTAAAACAGTGTGCACTGGGTTCCAGCAAATAAATGCCTCCTTTAGTTTAACACTTGACAAAACCACAGAATTCAGTGGAGCCAGTAAATATTTTCCATTTCCATGACAGGAGAAAGGGAATGGAGATGGACATCAGATTAGATACAAATTCGCAGTGTGGTATTCTTACAATAAAACAAATTCTATATTGGACTGTTTGGTAATGCATGTCAGAACATTCTCTAATTTCTCCTATAGCTTTGGTAGGTCCCTGTGCATCTGTGGGCTTCTCAAATAGGGCAAACTGGAGAGAGTCCAGGGAACAGAAAAAAATGTCAGTGGGATTAGATGGAGCATGTGATTTATAAAGCGCAATTAAAATGTAATGTGTGACAACTCCTCTTTCAACTGACTTGCTTTTAGTTGAAATACTCTGTTGTTATGAGCAAGTAAAAACATGGGGTTATGAACAAAAGCCTTTTTTAGCCTTGTTTTTGTAAGTGGTAATCACCCTTCAATAACAGGAATATGCAGAATGAAACACTGAAATGGTATATATGGAAAGGCAAAAAGTAACAGTGAACATTAAAGACAGAGAGCTAAATCTTGATCGTGACATTTATGTGAGAAGCCCCATTGATTTGGCTCTAATACTTGGGTGTGACTCCTGGAAATAATTTTTTTAATATGTATGTTTTAGTTCTGGTAAGTTGCAATGATTTGAAGCACAATGTACAGGGCTCTGTGGGAAGCCAGACCTAAATTCTGCTGTAGTTCCCCTGACCTTCACTTTCTGTGACATCCATTGAAGCAGACTAGAAATTTCACATCAGTTTCTGTAAAATCTGGTTTTTGTTTTTATTGAATTAAATATAAAAATGAATAATTCAATTAGGCACAATATTTCTAGTTTTATTTAATTTTCTGTTCCATTCATTTTATTTTATGCTGCAACTTAACTTTAAGTTTTGAGTATACTACAGAGTTTGGGACAGATAATGCATTCCTGTAGATGTTTTCCAGAAGAAACTGGATGCTTTGGAAACTGGCAAAGAGATAATTATTCCCCTAAAATTCTTTACATCTTACCCTTCAGTAGCACTAAATTAACTAAAACATAGTTTTTTCAGCAGAACCTATTTAAAAAATTCAGAGCCAGATTTTGGTCTCAGTCACATTGATATAAAGCTGGAATAACTCTATTCTTTTTATTGGATTTACTCCATTTTTTGACTTTAACTGGGAATCAGAATCTAAACAGTAGTTCTGATTCCAAAGCAGGATGGGGGAGGGGAGCCAAACAGATGAGCATGATTCTGATTAAGTGATTTTAGTGTGGCAAAATAAAACCACATAAAAGGAGGGGAAAAAAAAGAAATTTAAACAAAAATCCTCTTTCTAGTAATCAGTGCAGTGACACCTCCTTCCCCCGGAGGAACTTGAGTTTAGCAGCAACATTTTAAACACGCTACTGATGAAGGTACGAGTGAGCAGATCCATCATGAATATACGACACTTCGTTTATAGACACAAGAGACTTTTCACTCACTAGCACCCACACCTGCCTAACTCACATTATGACTGTGATGGCAAAATGTGGGCCTGATTCTCCTCTGACCTAAACTGACTTTATATTGGTGTAACTTCATTGACTTCCATAAGCTTACACCTGATTTACTCTGTTGGAGAATAAAAGCTATGTTTGCCCTCTGGATGGTGAAATTACGTTGTTTTTTTTCAAGTTTTTAATTAAAAACTGTTTCTATGTATACGTAGCTGCTGGACTGCTTTGGGATCCCTGTGTTGATGGCTCTATCATGGTTCATTCTGCGTGCAAGATACAGACTCATCCATTTTATAGCTGTTGCTGTCTGTCTGTTGGGTGTGGGAACCATGGTTGGTGCAGACATATTAGCTGGGCGACAGAACAGTGAAGGTAAGGACTTGGTTATCATCTGGGCAGTGTGGAGACATGGGTTTCACGACATTCTTACTTTCAAAGGGGAAACAAAAGAGGAGAAAACATATGGTGAATGCATCTGGCTCCATTCCAGTGTAACAGCCACTATTTCAGGTTAGCATCCTTCCAAACACTAGTCTTTTCAGACTGCAGACATGGTGGTGGAGCCATATGTTACCGGATGCTCTTCTACTTGTGCTAGAGAACAGTGCTGCCACTTTTGGATCCTTTGTTGACGTGTAGTAGCTCCTTGCTCTCCAACAACAGCATTTGAGGACTTGAATTCAGGTTCTGGGGATATGTTTGCCTGCAGACAGCGGGACTGACAGCCACCATGGGCCCCGGGGCAAGGTTGGGGGGGGTGGCTTCACACCCCCGGAAGGGTCAGGACCTTGAGTGGAAGGGTGGCATGCGGGGCAGCCAGCTCTCAGTGCTGCCTGGATCACGGCACTGGCCCCTCAGAATCCCATGGAGTATATGGTGTTGCAGAGTGTGCAGAGCTGCACTCGGGTGGTGAATCAAAGGGCCCCGGATAATTGCTCCTTTTGCCCCTCCTCCCCCATCAGTGGGCCTGCCTGTAGACCTTGGTTAATGCTACTGCTTCAGACACTGAAGCCCAGATTCTTAAAGGAATTTAGGTACTTGGCTCCCATTGATTTAAATGGGAGTTAGACACCTATATACCTTTAAGTATCTGGGCCCAATTCATTAAGCTCTGCTCTGGTCTTTTTGCACCATTCCAAAGGCATGAAGGGGACAGAAGGCTAGCAGCTCACTGCAGCTGGAGATCCTGCTTGCACAAGGGACATGTGGGGGATGGAGAACATATGGCCAGAATGCAGTGAGTTTCTGTGATCCCTGTCTGGAAGGCTGGCCCTTTGAAGCCAACAGCCAATTTGACATAGGATAGAGCAGAGTTACTCTCCAGCCAGTACAGCATTAGAGAGCCACACAGAGTTCTTTGCATCTCGCCCATTACCTAGGGTTATGAATATTGCATTTCAAGAATAAAGGACTGTTTTCTTAGCACCTTGCCCAATCCCTCCTTCCAATACTATTATTAATTATCATTACTACTACTAATAAGCAGTATTTCACCAACCTTTGCCAGGGGTATTTCTTGCTGATTTTTGCAGCACTCAGTAACTCCTGATCTTGTTGTACAGAGATGAAAAAAAGAGAGCCATCCCTTGTAAAAAGGGACCATTGGCAAGCCTAATGACAGCACTTACTGGTTGCAACTGAGGATTGAAGTCTGTGTATGTTTATCTATTTTAACTTCTCAAATAAAACCTGCCCTTTAGATTCTGGAATTAAGTAAAAGTTTGACTAAATAGTACTGTTGCATCCAAAGAGAATGTGGATGAGTGCTCGTTTCCTAGAACTAAAATAGCAGTGTATCTTTAATCCAATTAAAAAACACCATGGACTGGATCTGCAGCTGTTAAGTACATTAAATAGCATCTACTCTACTCACACAATCAGGCTCATTGATGTCGGTGGCTTTTTTTTTATATAACTAAGTCACTGTTTCCAGTTAGTGGATTAGAGATGTGTTTTTAAAACTGAGGTAGCTATTTCAATGTCAATCCTAGCAGGAACATAAGAATGGCCATACTGGGTCAAAACAAAGGTCCATCCAGCCCAGTATCCTGTCTGCCAACAGTGGCCAACAGTGGCCAGGTACCCCAGAGGCAGTGAACCGAACAGGTAATGATCAAGCCATCTCTCTCCTGCCATCCATCTCCACCCTCTGACAAACAGAGGCTAGGGACACCATTCCTTACCCATCCTGGCTAATAGCCATTTATGGACTTAACCTCCATGAATTTATCTAGTTCTCTTTTAAACCCCATTATAGTCCTAGCTGTCACAACCTCCTCAGGCATAGATTGACTATGCGCTGTGTAAAGAAGAACTTCCCTTTATTTGTTTTAAATCTGCTGCCCATTAGTTTCATTTGGTGTCCCCTAGTTCTTATATTATGGGAACAAGTAAATAACTTTTCCTTATTCACTTTCTCCACGCCACTCAAGAGTTTATATACCTCTATCATATTCCCCCCTTAAGTCTCCTCTTTTCTAAGCTGAAAAGTCCCAGTGTCTTTAATCTCTCCTCATATGAGGCCTGTTCCAAACCCCTAATCATTTTAGTTGCCCTTCTCTTAACCTTTTCTAATGCTAGTATATTTTTTTTCAAATGAGGAGACTACATCTGTATGCAGTATTCAAGATGTGGGCATACTATGGGTTTATATAAGGGCAATAAGATATTCTCCGTCTTATTCTCTATCCCTTTTTTAATGATTCCTAACATCCTGTTTGCTTTTTTGACTACCGCTGCACACTGTGTGGACGTCTTCAGAGAACTATCCACGATGACACAAAGATCTCTTTCCTGATTAGTTGTAGCTAAATTAGCCCCCATCATATTGTATGTATAGCTGGGGTTATTTTTTCCAATGTACATTATTTTACATTTATCCACATTAAATTTCATTTGCCATTTTGTTGCCCAGTCACTTAGTTTGGTGAAATCTTTTTGAAGTTCTTCACAGTTTACTTTGGTCTTGACTATCTTGAGCAGTTTAGTATCATCTGCAAACTTTGCCACCTCACTGTTTACCCCTTTCTCCAGATCACTTATAAATATGTTTAATAGGATTGGTCCTAGGACTGACCCTTGGGGAACACTACTCCATTCTGAAAATTTACCATTTATTCCTACCCTTTGTTTCCTGTCTTTTAACCAGTTCTCAGTCCATGAAGGGATCTTCCCTCTTATCCCATGATGACTTAATTTATGTAAGAGCTTTTGGTGAGGGACCTTGTCATAGGTTTTCTGGAAATCTATGTATACTATATCTACCGGATCTCCTTTGTCCACGTGTTTGTTGACCTCTTCAAAGAACTCTAATAGATTAGTAAGACATGATTTCCCTTTAAAGAAACCATGTTGACTTTTGCCCAACAAGTTATGTTCTTCTACGTGTCTGACAATTTTATTCTTTACTATTGTTTCAACTAATATGCCCAGTACTGATGTTAGACTTATCGGTCTGTAATTGCCGGGATTGCCTCTAGAGCCCTTTTTAATATTGGCGTTACATTAGCTATCTTCCAGTCATTGGGTACAGAAGCTGATTTAAAGGATAGGTTACAAACCATAGTTAATAGATCTGCAATTTCACATTTGAGTTCTTTCAGAACTCTAGGGTGAATGCCATCTAGTCCTGGTGACTTGTTACTGTTAAGTTTACCAATTAATTCCAAAACCTCCTCTAATGACACTTTAATCTGTGACAAAGTCCTCAGATTCATCACCTACAAAGGACGGGTCAGGTTAGGGAATCTCCCTAACATCCTCAGCTGTGAAGACTGAAGCACATTATTCATTTAGTTTCTCTGCAATTAAAGACAATAAAGTAAGTGCTCCTTTTGTATCTCGATTGTCCAGGGGCCCCACTGGTTGTTTAGCAGGCTTCCTGCTTCTGATGTACTTAAAAAACATTGTATTACCTTTTGAGTTTTTGGCTAGCTATTCTTGAAACTCCTTTTTAGCTTTTCTTATTACATTTTTACACTTAATTTGGCAGTGTTTATGCTCCTTTCCATTTACCTCACTAGGATTTGACTTCCACTTTTTAAAAGATGCCTTTTTATCTCTCACTGCTTCTTTTACATGATTGTTAAGCCACGGTGGCTCTTTTTTAGTTCTTCTACTATGTTTTTTAATTTGGAGTATACATTTAAATTGGGCCTCTTGTTGAGGGGCACAAGGCCAATGCTCCCCTGGGGACGTGCAGGCCCTGCCCCGCTACCCGTCCTGTGCCCAAAAACCCCATCTACCGCTCCCTATCAATCGCCCCGTGTCCCAAGTCCAGCAGGGTTGGTCCGTTTAAAGTTGCCCACTCCTGTGTGGTGCCGGGCTGGCGAGGAGAGGTAGAGGGGCTCGGGCCTGCCCTCACTTCGAGGCCCGACCCAGCGCCCTGAGGACTGGGGCTCAGCGCCCCAGTTCTGGTTGGCGGGGGAAAGCTCCACCCCGCAACACACCAACCCTCCAGGCTCAATACCCTGCCCTGGGTTGCTTCCTACCTCCCCGCCGAGTCGCTGTGACGGCCTTGTCCGGGGGCCTCCTTAGGGCCATCCTGTGATGCCTCCGCCAGACCTCCCGGCAGGTGTCTCCCTCTGGCTCCGCCACTCTCTGCTCCTCAGGGTCCGTGCCTCCGTGCCGGTCAGCCCTCCTGGGCTCTCTGTACCTCGGTCTCCTCCCCCAGTCGCTGGCAGCAGCGCTCCATTTAAGCATCCCATCGCTGCTATGTCTCTTGCGTCGGGGGCGGGAACCTCCCCGGCTCCTCCCAACGTTCCCCCCCTTTGCTTGCTCCGCCCTCTCCAAGGGTGCACCTGTGCCGCCCTGTGCTGCAGCGGGGGGCCGTCAGCCCTCCTGGGCTCTCTGTACCTCGGTCTCCTCCCCCAGTCGCTGGCAGCAGCGCTCCATTTAAGCATCCCATCGCTGCTATGTCTCTTGCGTCGGGGGCGGGAACCTCCCCGGCTCCTCCCAACGTTCCCCCCCTTTGCTTGCTCCGCCCTCTCCAAGGGTGCACCTGTGCCGCCCTGTGCTGCAGCGGGGGGCCGGCCTGGGGGGCCGGAGCCGGCACGGGACTGCCGCTTCTTCTCAACATGCCGGGGACGGCACTGGGCTCGTGCGGGGCGTGGGCGCTGCCCCGTCACACCTCTTTTATGGTGTCTGAAAAGTATCCATGCAGCTTGCAGGGATTTTACTTTAGTCACTGTACCTTTTAATTTCTGTTTTACTAACCTCCTCATTTTTGCATAGTTTCCCTTTTTGAAATTAAATGTCACAGTGTTAGGCTGAGTATTCTTCCCACCACAGGAATGTTAAATGTTGTTATATTACAGTCACTATTTCCAAGCGGTCCTGTTATAGTTACCTCTTGGACCAGATCCTGTGCGCCACTCAGGACTAAATCAAGAATTGCCTCTCTCCTTGTGGGTTCCTGTACTAGCTTTTCCAAGAAGCAGTCGTTTAAGGTATCAAGAAATTTTGTCTCTGCATCTCATCCTGAGGTGACATGTACCCAGTCAATATGGGGACAGTTGAAATCCCCCACTATTATTGAGCTCTTTATTTTGATAGCCTCTCTAATCTCCCTTAGCATTTCATAGTCACTATTACTGTACTGGTCAGGTGGTCGATAATAGATGCCTACTGTTATATTCTTAATAGAGCAGGCAATTACTCTCCATAGCGATTCTATGGAACATGTTGATTCATTTAAGATTTCTACTTCATTTGATTCTACATATCTTTCACATAGTGCCACTCCCCCACCCGCAGGACCTGTTCTGTCCTTCCCATATTTTGTACCCAGGAATGATTGTATCCCATTGATTGTCCTCGCTCCACCAGGTTTCTGTGATGCCTATTATATCAGTATCCTCCTTTAACACGAGGCACTCTAGTTCACCCATCTTATTTTTTAGACTTCTATCATCTGTGTACGAGCACTTTAAAAACTTGTCACTGTTTGTCTGCCCTTTTCTGATGTCAGATTCTTTTTTATGTGAATGTTTTTCGTCTGATCTGACCCATACTTTATACTCTTCCATCCTCTCCTTCTGATTAAAACCTAGAGAATCTCTATCAAAAGACTCTCCTCTAAGAGACGTCTCTGTCCGATCCACGTGCTCCTGTGCACCAATCGGCTTTCCCCCATCTCTTAGTTTAAAAACTGCTCTGAGACCTTTTTAATGTTAAGTGCCAGCAGTCTGGATCCACTTTGGTTTAGGAGGAGCCCATCCTTCCTGTATAGGCTCCCACTATCCCAAAAGTTTCCCCAGTTCCTTATAAAGCTAAACCCCTCCTCCCTACACCATCGTCTCATCCACACATTGAGACTCTGAAGCTCTGCCTGCCTACCTGGCTCTGCATGTGGAACTGGAAGCATTTCCGAGAATGCCACCATAGAGGTCCTGGACTTCAGTCTCTTTCCTAGCAGCCTAAATTTGGCCTCTAGGATGTCTCCGCTACTCTTCCCCATGACATTGGTACCTACATGTACCATGACCACCGGCTCCTCCCCAGCACTACACATAAGTCTATCTAGATGCCTCGAGAGATCCGCAGCCTTCACACCAGGCAGGCAAGTCACCATACGGTTCTCCCGGTCATCACAAACCCATCTCTCTACATTTCTAATCATCAAATGTCCCATTACTAACAACTGCCTTTTCCTACTGACTGGAGTTCCCTCCCCCGGAGAGGTAACCTCAGTGTGAGAGGATACCCCAACATCTGGAAGGAGGGTCCCAACTATGGGAAGGTTTCCCTCTGCTCCTGTTGACTGTTCTCCTTCCCTGAACTGTCTAACCAGAGTTGGGACAATTCTCCAATGTCCCAGAAAGCTTCATCAACATACCTCTCGACCTCCCTCAGCTCCTCCAGTTCAGCCACCCTGGCCTCCAAAGCCTGTACGCGGGCTCTGAGGGCCAGGAGCTCCTTGCACCGAATGCACACATACGCCACCCACCCCTAGGGCAGGTAATCATACATACTACACTGAGTGCAATAAAAAGGATAGCCCCCACTCTGCTGCTTGGCTTCTGCCTGCAATCTTTCCTACAGCTACCTTGGTTATCGATAGAGTTTCTAGTTAAATCAGGAAGTTTTGATTAAAACCTTTAAATTAAACTATAAAGAATGGCAAGTGTACCTTGGCCCTTTCCCACTCCTCTCAAAACTCCCTGTTTGCTGCCCCTGTTCTCAAAGCTCTCTGGTCGCTGACTCACTGCTTTATAAAGCTGTGGCCTTCTTGATAGCCCTGTCCCCAAACTAAGACTCAGCCAATTTAACAGAGGCTTCTAGATTTTAAACCTTTAGAAGCTCACAGCTTCCAACTGCTGGCCACAGCACACGCTCCTTCAAGCAAACAAACAAAAAAACCCCAGACAAACACAAGCTCAGCACACACAAGTAACCCACAAACACACACTATAGACAGCCACTTACCTCAAGGGTCCCATATTTGCTCCTCCTTTACCTGGAGAACTCCCTCTCAAAACTCCCTGTTTCCTGCTCCATATTGCAGAGCCTGCAATGCATGTAACCACCATAATTTTTTGCAGTTACATGGTTATATTTTTAACAGCATTTTTACATCCCTAGGTGGGAGGTATAGTTTGAGTTTGACTAGCTATATAAAGGTAAAACTCCCTTGTGCCTTGTCTCCACCAGGATTTTACAGAGAGCGTGATAGCTATCTCAGTGTAAAAAGACATTTTTTTTTAGTGAAGGCATAGTGGAAGCACTACTTGACATTGGTAAGCATGACTAATGTTTGATAATGGGATCTTCAATCTAGCAAAGGAAGGTAAAACATAATCCAATGGCTGGAAGCTAAAGCTACACAAATTCAGACTACAACTAAGGTATAAATTTTTAACAGTGAGAGTAATTATCCTTTGGAACAATGTAGCAAGGGTTGTAGTGGATTCTTCATCACCAACAATTTTTCAATCAATATTGGATGTTATTCCATAAGATTTGCTTTAGGAATTATTTGGGGGACATTCTATGGCCTGTGTTCTATAGGAGGTCATACCTGGTGATCACAGTGATTCCTTCTGACCTTGGAATCTATGACAGAATAGAGTCCAAAGTGAAAAATCTTCCTTCCCTGAGATTTCTAGATCTGCCATGATTCATCCATTGGTCTGATGGTACAACATAGATATACTTCCTGAAAGAACTGTATCTCTTTAGTCCTTCTTCCAGCTCCCAATCATGTTTGCCTAAAAAATGACTATCCAACAGCTTGGGGAAGAGGTTTTAAATCCAATCAAAGATTTTAGTGAGTGCAACGATCTGGCTATTGAATTGGTTCTTAAGAGCATCACTTGATGACTAGTGGCATTATGAGGAATCCCAATAGTACAGTATAAAAGTCTTATTTTAGCCCATATCATGCAATTGCAGACTCATAGCACCCACTTAAGAGCTTTCATAGGCTTGGAACCTAATTCACCTGGCTCTGAAATCAATACATTGACTTGAATGGGAGCTGAATCAGGCCCTTAATGGAGAAGAGTTGAATCAATGGTATGAAAAGGTAGGATTCTTCTGGAATTCCCACATGGTGCTTAACCCTAACAGAATTAGTTAGAACTGGAGCTTACTTTAAAACAGCTGGTGAGCTAATGTGTATTTTAACCTTTGAAGTAAAAACCAAAAGCTCAGCTGACCCCAAACATTGTCAGTGTTTGGTTTGCAAGTGATCCATACAGAAGCATTCCCCTCTCTTTATCCTGAAAGGTGGGCAGAGACATTAGAAATAAACATGTTTATTTAAAAAAAAAAAAAACCTAAAAAGTGTTTACAGTATTTCCCTTTTTGTGGATTAATATTTCTGTACAGGAAGTGACGTGGTGGTTGGCGATGTCTTAGTTCTGCTGGGTGCATCTTTGTATGCCATTTCTAATGTGAGTGAGGAATACATTGTGAAAAATCTGAGCAGAGTGGAGTTTCTAGGAATGGTGGGCTTGTTTGGGACTATTATCAGCGGTCTACAGCTGTAAGGATCTAATCTTTATTTTAACCCTAATTAAGAACACACTGCAGAATGATTTATTTGTGTATCACCAAATGGTGTTGTTACTTTTAAATCAATTAATTGTTAAGACTACATTTACCCAGGCATTTGGGATTCTTTTTGTGGATCTGCATCATGCATTTCATTTCCTTTGTACATTTGTGGCCGAGGTCCTACATGCTGCTGCTTCATGTAATTCCCTTAAAGCCTAATCCTACAAACCTGTCTGAGCGTGGGCCCAGATCATCAAAGGCATTTAGGTGCCAAACTTCCATTGATTTCAGTGGGAAAGCAGTATCTAAATATCTCTGAGGATCTGGGCCGTAGTCTGTACTTGTGTGAATATCGTCATTGACCTTCATGGGACCATTCATGTGACAAAGGTATGGAATTTCATGTCTGTAATAGTCTTTCCAGTGGAAACCTGCTGGAGTTACTCACTGGCAGAGTGACTCCTATGATTTTCTAAATTAACTACAAAAATCAGTGTTAAAATTTATTTCAGTAGAAAGGAATCATTAAAGAGGGCATCTGTAATGTTTAATCTTGAATTTATAAATGAGGCCACATTTACTATTACAAACAAACATGGAGACAGAAAGAGCAAGCAAATAAGCCTACTAATTAATTGCCAGTCATCTGAAGAAGTGGGCTGTGCCCACAAAAGCTCATGATACCATCTACATGTTTTGTTAGTCTTTAAAGTGCTACCAGACTATTTGTTGTTTTTCAAGTTTATCCTGTAGGGTATGTCTACACTACCCCCCTAGTTCGAACTAGGGGGGTAGTGTAGACATACCCTCCAAGAGGCAGATTCCACTCAAGTTCTTTCTGGTCAAAGGAATGAGGTGGTAGCAACCATGTTAGTGTGTCAGCTTGCAGGTCAGCCCCTACTGCTGCTCCTCTCTATTCAAGGGACACCCAGATGGATCTGCCCCTCAAGATTTAACACCCCCAAATGGCCTCTTTGATGTGGATTGGACACTGGATTGGCAATCAGAAGACCTGGGTTCTATTCCCAGCTCTTATGGAAACCTACTGTGGTATGTCTACATTGCAATATAAGCCCAGGGTTTGAATTCTGACTTGAATCTACCCCCACATCTCTCTCTCTAAACAAATCTCACTAGCTCAGGGCTTTGTCCCAGGAAATTTTATGTTCCTCACCTTTCATCCTCAAAGTTAATTATTTTCTCATATGGTATGTTAATTAGCAAGTGAACCTGTGAAAGGCAAGAGCCCTTTTTTAACTCTTATGTATTCTTTCTATGGTCAGCTAGATTCCACAGTGACTGGGGATCAATAAATACTTGTGATACAAAATTATAGGATTAAAAGAGAGGAAAAATCAAAGCCTTTCTTATACACGCTTGTAATTAAATCCATCATTTGAATACATAGTGAAAATAATGCAAAGTAGTTTTCACTCCAGCATGTCTTTTCTTATGTAGAGCCATTCTGGAACATAAGGACATTGCTCATATTCAGTGGAACTGGAAAATTGGTATGTATATGTTAAAACTATGTCTAAATTTTAAAATCCCAGAAAGTGGATAACTGGTTGAATTAATCAGAGCTATGATATCTTCATTTCCCTTTATTTCATTTGTCAGCATAAAACAAATAACATTTATACTGTGTTATAAAAGAGCTGTGCAAACTCTGGTAGCAAAGAAATACACTTAACAGGTTTTGGACCCCAAAATCCAAGCAGGTCCATGGAACTGAACCATGTTAATTGTCAAGGTAAAGAAGACTCACTCAAGACAGAAGTTATGGCATTGGCTGCTATTTCCAAATATTTTTCTTGAGATGTTAGATATTGGGATCATGTAGGTGCAACAATTTTTAGTGGTTAGGTGGTTACGCAAAAGTCCCTGCCAGGCTAAGGCTGGAAGCCAATGCTCCCCACTCCTGGCAGCTCCCCACTCCTTGTATCAGATGCAGCAGCAAAGGGTGGCAGGCAAAGCTGTTCTGAGAGGGCAGCTGGTTTAAAATTCTTTCTTTCTTTCTTTCTTCATACAAGAGAGTTATGTGTAAGGAACTTGTTTGTACCTAGACTCATACAATCCTAGAACTGGTAGGGACCTCAAGAGGTCATCGAGTCCACTCTCCTGCCCTCATAGAAGGACCAAGCACTGTCTAGATCCGTGGTCACCAACCAGTCGATCGCGATCGACTGGTTGATCACGAGGCTTCGACCAGTCGATCGTGAGGTGTTTGGGCCCCCCTAATCCCCATTTTCCCCGAGAAGCTCCACTACCTACCTCCAGCATAGTGCCGACTTCCTACGGGGTGGACGGAAGTCCTGCCTGCAGCTTTGTGCCATTTCCGGGGGTTCCAGAAGTGTGCTGGCTGCTCCCCTCCCACAGCTCTGTGGCGTGCCAGGCGTGCTGTGGGAGGGGGCATCGGCCCCGGAGGAGGAGCGTGAGGTGAGTCGAGCGCAGGGGTTTCCCTGCACCGCGGGAGCGGGAGTCGGCCCCGGGGCAGGTGCGCATGGGGGTTTGGCGCCAGAGCACGCATGCGCAGGGTTTGGCTGCGCTGCGGGAAGGGGGTTTGGTGCCGGGGCAGGCACGCGCGTGGGTTTGGCTGCACCGCGGAAAGCAGGTTTGGCAAGTGGGGCAGGCGTGAGCGCAGGTGTTTGGCCCTGGGGCAGGTGCGTGTGGGGGTTTGGCTGCGGTGTGGGAGGGAAGTTTGGCCAGGGCTGGCCTGAGGTACGGGCGAGGCGGGCAACTGCCCGGGGCGAGGCGGGCTACTGCTCGGAGCGCCCCATTGTAGGGGGTGCCACACGGGGCTGCCGGGCTGGGTGGGGGCGGCGCCGCGCATGCTCCACGCGCCC